CGCATCAAGAGTGTCTTATGAATCTCTTTTTATGAAACTGGTCTCACTCTGTCAACCCAGAGCTAGAATGCAGTGGCATGATTATGGCTCACTACCGCCTCAACATCCTGACCTCAAGCAATATTCTCACCTCAACTTCCTGAACAGCTGGAACTACAAGGTGCATACCATCAACATGCCGGGCTAACGTCTTGATGGTTACTTTTGTAGAGACAGAGTCTCATTCAATTGCCCGGGCTGGTCTCAACCTCCTGGGCTGAAGGAAACCTTCCCCTTCTGCCTCCCAAAGTGTTGAGATAACCCGTGTGAACCACCACAGCCAGCACTCATCAATTCCTTTCAAGAAACCTCAATGTTGCCCAGGCATGGTGACTCACACCTGTAATCACAGCCCTTTGCCAGGCCAAGGTGGGTGGATTGCTTGACTTCGGGAATTTGAGACCAGCCTGGGCAGCATAATGAGAACACGTCTCTGCACAGAAATACAGGAAGGAGTCAGGCACGCTGGTGTGTGCCTGTATCCCAGCTGCTCGGGAGGCTGATGGGGGAGGATCACTTGAGCTTTGGAGGTGGAGACTGTAGTGAGCCGAGATCATGCCATTGTACTCCAGCCTGGGCAACAGAGCGAGACCCTGACTCCACAAAACTTTCCATTTACAACGTGAGAACGGAGGGAAATACAAACAAAAAACAAGCCTAATCGGTAAACGAAATGCGAGCTTAAGCCAAGAAAGAAAGGAAACCCCATGAAGTACAATCAAGGACGTGGAGAAATAGATCCCTAACAGAGCATTTTGGTCTTTCCTGTCCCTAATGATACTACTTAATATTTACGCTACAATTAAATGTTGTGGGTAGTGCTGTGACAGAGTTTATTACTCTAAGACATTCCATTACTTAAACATGGTCATCTACCACTACCTGAAAGAACACTATTATGAGAGAGAGAAAAACCTGGAACTTTCAACTTTACACCTAGAAAAATATTAGTTTATTTATTGGTCACCAGAATTCTAAAGAGTAATGTATGGCTTGAAAAGGTATATTTCATAGAACGTGTCGTGTGTTGGAGCTAATAAAAAGTATAAGAAATGTTCATCTGCAATCACAACGTCATGATTCCAGCTGAATGATACTAGGGAATACGTTGCAATCCTCTTTGCGGCTGATGACCTATTTCTAATTTATTTCCTTCTTATGGATGGCATAATTTCTCAACATAACACCTCAAAACTTACACATCCTTAAATATTAAAATGTAATACAAAGGTAAGCAATATTTTAAATATTGAATCATTAAGATACATGAGGCATATGACTTGGCACATTCCATGAGATAAAACTTCATTTGTCTATTTATTCAGATGAAACAACGATGAAGGCTGAGTGTCTCACGCCTGTAACCCCAGCACTTTGAGAGGCTGAGGCAGACAGAACACTTGCGCCCAACAGTTCAAGACCAGCCTGGGCAACAAGGCAAAACCCCGTCTCTGCAGAAACTACAGAATCAGCCCAGCATGGTGACACAGGTCTACGGTGGTCCCAACTACTTGGATGGCTGAAGTGTGAGGATCACCTGAGCCCAGGAAATGGAGATAGGAGTGAGCCAAGGTCTCGCTACCGCACTCCAGCCTGCGTTACAGAGTGAATCCCCCTCTCAAAAAACAGCCATTAAAATGCTTCTTGCGTGAAAGACTGTGTTCTAGGTACTCCAGGATACACACAAATATGTTTGCTGACCTCCAGTGGCCCATGGTATGCAGGAGCTTCCAATGATTTTTTAAACAAGGAAACCTAAAAACTTCCAAAACCCAAAATTTCAGAATGTGATAGATGGACTTTGAGTGGTCATTTTATGTTTTAAGATGTGGTCTTGCACTGTCACCCTGGCTGGAGTGCAACGGTGTGATCTTGGCTCACTGCAACTTCCGCATCCCGGGTTCAAGCGATTCTCCCGCCTCAGCCTCGGCCTCCTGAGCAGCTGGGAATACAAGCATGCACCATCCTGCCCGGCTAATTTTTGTGTCTTTTCTTCTTTTAGAGGCAAGGTTTCACCATGCTGGCCAGGCTGATCTCAAACTCCTGACCTCAGGTCATCCCCCACCTCGGCCTCCCACGGTGCTGGGATTATAGGCTTGAGCCACGGGGCCCGGCCAAGTCAATAGTTTAGATAAACTACAATGACAAAATTATGACATTGAAGTCTTACCATATCGGTATTAAGAGTCTCTGCTTCGAGAACTGTTGATTTGCAGCAAACTATGAAGTGTTTCATGGAGACTCTTCATGGACAACTTGTAAAACACACAAAAAAATCCCTTTGCGGTACAAATTTTGAGAGCAAAAATTTAAATTTCTACATTTCCACAATTTGGTGCTGGAGCTGCCGCAATGCAAGGCCCCGCCACCGCGCGTCTTCTCCACACCGCTCGCCGCCATGCGTCGCAGTCGCCTCCGGAACTACGCGGGGGCTCCGAG